CTCTTGTTACCCAGGCTGGAGTGCAATGGCGCGATCTCGGCTCACCGCAACCTCCGCCTCCTGGGTTCAGGCAATTCTCCTGCCTCAGCCTCCTGAGTAGCTGGGATTACAGGCACGCGCCACCATGCCCAGCTAATTTTTTGTACTTTTAGTAGAGACGGGGTTTCACCATGTTGACCAGGATGGTCTCGATCTCTTGACCTTGTGATCCACCCGCCTCGGCCTCCCAAAGTGCTGGGATTACAGGCTTGAGCCACTGCGCCCGGCCCCTGACTTTGTTTTTTATAAAGCCATTGGACTTTGTCAACTCTGAGACAGTACTTGTATTTTAGCTCATCTTGATAATGAATATCACGTGTTTTGTTGAACAGAATATCTAACATATCTATGGAAAAAACATTGTGTTTTGTTTTTATTTTTATTTTTTTATTTTATTATTTATTTATTTTTTTTTGAGACGGAGTTTCACTCACGTTGCCCAGGCTGGAGTGCAATGGTGTGATCTCGGCTCACCGCAACCTCCGCCTCCTGGGTTCAGGCAATTCTCCTGCCTCAGCCTCCCGAGTAGCTGGGATTGCAGGCATGCGCCACCATGCCCAGCTAATTTTTTTGTATTTTTAGTAGAGACGGGGTTTCACCATGTTGACCAGGATGGTCTCGATCTCTTGACCTCGTGATCCACCCGCCTCGGCCTCCCAAAGTGCTGGGATTACAGGCTTGAGCCACCGCGCCCGGCTAGTTTTTATTTATAATTTTTTTTTTTAGTCACTCTGTCACCTAGGCTGGGGTGCAGTGGTGTAATCTCTGCTAACTGCAATTTCTGCCTTCTGGGTTCACGCTATTCTCCTGCCTCAGCCTCCCGAGTAGCAGTATTAGAGGCGAGTGACACTACGTAGGCCCACCTAGTTTTTTGTATATTTAGCAGAGACGGGGTTTCACCATGTTGGCAAACCTGGTCTCAAACTTCTGACCTCAGGTAATTTCACCCAACTTGGCCTCCCAAAGTGCTGGGATTACAGGCGTTACCCACCGTGTCTGGCCAACTAATTTCAATGGCCAGGAACTGGGGGTGGGGAGGTTGGGGAGAGATAACATGGGGAGAAATGCTGGCTATAGATGAAGGGAAATTAGAGGCAGCAAACCACCTGGTTATTTATGCACCTATGCAACACCCCTGAATGAACTGGACCTGTACCCCAGAACATAAAGCAAAATATTTAATAAAAACAGCAATGAGCCGGGCGCGGTGGCTCAAGCCTGTAATCCCAGCACTTTGGGAGGCCGAGGCGGGTGGATCACGAGGTCAAGAGATCGAGACCATCCTGGTCAACATGGTGAAACCCCGTCTCTACTAAAACTACAAAAAATTAGCTGGGCATGGTGGCGCGTGCCTATAATCCCAGCTACTCAGGAGGCTGAGGCAGGAGAATTGCCTGAACCCAGGAGGCGGAGGTTGCGGTGAGCCGAGATCGCGCCATTGCACTCCAGCCTGGGTAACATGAGTGAAACTCCATCTCGAAAAAAAAAATACAAAAAAAGTAGGTGGGCATGGTGGCAGCACCTCTAATCTGATCTACTTGGGAGACTGAAGCAGGAAAATCACTTGAATTCCCGGGACAGGGAAATTGCAGTGAGCTACAATTGTGCCATTGCACTCCAGCCAGGAAAAGAAGAGGGAAACTCTATCTCAAAAAAAGAAAGAAAAAAGAAAACAGAAAAAAAGAAAATCAAAAAGAATCAACAAAAATACTATACTACTGGTACTAATAAACAAATTCAGTGTACTTGCAGTATAGAAAGCTAGCATGAAAAGTTTGTTGAATTCCCATATATTAACAATAATTTTAAAAGAATATTAAGAACACACTTCCATTTGCTAGACAACTTAAAATACAAAACACTTGGGAATAAACTTAAGAAAGTGAGAACCTTGTACCTTGAAATCTACAAACATTGATCAAAAAAACTAAGTGGAGATACAACCATTTTAATGGACTGGAAGCATTCATATTGTTAAATGACTATAAAAACCAATGTGATTTAGATTTCACAAAATACCCATAAAACTCCCTATCATTTTTTTTTTTTAAAGAAAGAAAAGGGGCCGGGCGCGGTGGCTCAAGCCTGTAATCCCAGCACTTTGGGAGGCCGAGGCGGGTGGATCACGAGGTCAAGAGATCGAGACCATCCTGGTCAACATGGTGAAACCCCATCTCTACTAAAAATACAAAAAATTAGCTGGGCATGGTGGTGCGTGCCTGTAATCCCAGCTACTCAGGAGGCTGAGGCAGGAGAATTGCCTGAACCCAGGAGGCGGAGGTTGCAGTGAGCCGAGATCGCGCCATTGCACTCCAGCCTGGGTAACATGAGTGAAACTGCGTCTCAAAAAAAAAAAAAAAAGAAAGAAAAAACAGACTGGGTAAAGTGGCGCACATCTCTTCTCCAGGCTGGTCTCAAACTCCTTACCTCAAGTAATCTACCTGCCTTGGCCTCCTAAAGTGTGGAAATTACAGGTGTGAGCCACTACGCCCAGCCCAATCCTCTTAATATAAACACTTTAAAGTCAATTAATGCTTGAACTCAATGTTAAGTCAACTCAAAATCAAGTCAATGCTGCATTGACTCTAATGTCAATTAATGCTTGATGGCTTGCTATGCTTATTGAATTTGGAACAATTATCTCAAAAATGAAATTTCTGATGTTCTGCAAGGAGTGACCTCATACTGAAGATCTTGCCACACTTATGAAATTTGTAATAGTTCTGTCCAGTATGGATTCTCTGATGTCTAATAAGGTGTGAATGTGAAGTAAAAACTTTGCCATAATAATCATACTTGTGATGTTCCTCTTCTCTATGAATTCTCCTATGTTTTGCATAAGATGAAGCTTGACTGAAGACCTTGACACAATCATATTTGTGAGGTTCCTCTCAAGTATAAGTTTGCCAATGAACTGCAAGGTATAAACGATGTCTGAAAAATTGGCCACATTTATTACACTTGTAAGATCTCTCTTCATTATGGAGTCTCCAGTGATTTGCAATGGTTGTAGAGTTACTGAAGGCTTTGTGACAATTGTTACATTAGAAAAGTTTTCCTATACCATGGATTGTTTGATGGTGAGTAAGTGTTGACTGCATACTAAAGGCTTTGCCACACTCATTACACTTGTATGGTTACTCTTCACTGTGAACATAGTATGTAGTCCCAAGTACGAATCACGCCCAAAAGTCTTGTCACAAACCTTACATTTGTATGGTTTCTCTCCAGGATGAATTCTCCTGTGTCTTTCATGTTGTTATTTGCAACTGAAAATTTTGTCACATTAAGGTTTCTCTCCAGTATGAAGTCTATGATGACATGCAAGGTGTGCTTGTTGATTGAAAACCTTACCACATTCATTACTTTTGTAAGGTTTCTCTTCAGTATTAAGTCCATGATGATGTGCAAGGGATGATTTCTGACTAAAGGTCTTGATACATAAATTACACTTGTAAGGTTTCCCTCCAGTTTACAATGGTTTACAAGGAATGATGTCTGACTGAAGGTCTTGCTATATAGATTACACTAGTAAGGTTTGTCTCCAGTATGAAGTCTACGATGGCATAGGAGCAGTAACATCTGACTGAAGGTCTTGCCACACTCATTACACTTGTAAGGTTTCTCATCAGTGTGACATCTATGATGGCATGCAAGGTATCACTTCTGATTAAAGACCTTGCTACATACATCACACTTATGTTGTTTCTTTCCTGAATGATCTGATATTCCCTTAAGAGTGAGCTATAATTAATGGCTTTGCCACTCTCATTATATTGGAAAGATTTTTCTCTCCTTTGTACTTTGTTTTTGTGTAAGTAATGAAAAATGAAGGAAGTTATTCCCATAGTTATTAGAAATATGGTTTTTAGGCCTACAAGAAATTCTTTGGGATATTGAAACAGAGAAAGCATCATTGATAGAATTCTCTACTTGATTACCAAATTAAATTTTCCTATGTCTTTCAAGGTGTTATTTGTGACTGAAAGCTTTATCACGTTCTTCACATTTGTAATGCTTCTCTCCGGTATGAAGTCTATCATGACGTGCAAGGCTAAATTTTTTATTAAAAACCTTGCCACATTCATTACACTTGCAAGAGTTCTCTCCAGTATGAAGTCTATGATCAACTGAAAGGCTTGACTGGCGATTAAAAACCTTGCCAAATTCATTACACTTGTAAGGTTTCTCTCCTTCTGAATCACAATGGATGAATTGTAATGGAAGGTCTTGCCACACTCATTGCACTTGCAAGGTTTCTCTCCAGTATGAATTGCCTTCTGAATTACAAGAGATGACGTCCAACTGAAAGTCTTTCCACACTTATTTCACTTGCAAACTTTGTCTCCAGTGTGAGTTTGCCAACGTACTGCAAGGTATAAATGAGGTGTGATTTGGGGCTGAAAACCGTCACATTCTTCACATTTGTAAGGTTTATCTCAAGTATGAAGTCTATGATGACGTGCAAGGTTCGATTTTTGATTAAAAACCTTGCCACGGCCGGGCGCGGTGGCTCAAGCCTGTAATCCCAGCACTTTGGGAGGCCAAGGCGGGTGGATCACGAGGTCAAGAGATCGAGACCATCCTGGTCAACATGGTGAAACCCCGTCTCTACTAAAAATACAAAAAATTAGCTGGGCATGGTGGTGTGTGCCTGTAATCCCAGCTACTCAGGAGGCTGAGGCAGGAGAATTGCCTGAACCCAGGAGGCGGAGGTTGCAGTGAGCCGAGATCGCACCATTGCACTCCAGCCTGGGTAACAAGAGTGAAACTCCGTCTCAAAAAACAAAAAACAAAACAAAACAAAAAACAAAAAACCTTGCCACATTCATTAGACTTGTAAGGTTTTCCTGCAGTCTCAACTGCCTTATGAATTGAAAGAGCTGAATTTTGACCAAAGGTCTTGCTACACTAATTACACTTGTAAGGTTTCCCCCCAGTGTGAATTCTAGTATGCTTTTTCAGGTATGAATTACACACAAAAGCCTTGTCACAAATCTTACATTTGTATGGTTTCTCTCCAGTATGAATTCTCTTGTGTGTTTCAAGGTGCGACTTGCGAGTGAAAACTTTGTCACATTTTTCACATTTGTAAGGTTTCTCTCCAGTATGAACTCTCCTATGTGTTAGAAGATATGATTTGCGACTGAAAACCTTGTCACATTCTTCACATTTGTAAGGTTTCTCTCCAGTATGAAGTCTATGATGACGTGCAAGCGTTGCTTGTTGATTAAAAACTTTGCCACACTCATTACACTTGTAAGGTTTCTCTCCAGTATGAAGTCTATGATGACGTGCAAGGCTTGACTGTTGTTTAAAAACCTTGCCACATTCATTACACTTGTAAGGTTCCTCCCCAGTATGAATTGCCTTATGAATTACAAGGGCTGCAGTGTGACCAATGATCTTGCCACACACATTACACTTATGAGGTTTCTCTCCAGTATGAATTGCCTTATGAAGTACGAGAGCTGAATTGTGATGGAAGGTTTTGCCACACTCATTACACTTGTAAGGTTTCTCTCCAGTATGAAGTCTACGATGGCATAAAAGGGATGATGTGTGACTGAAGGTCTTTCCACACTCATTACACTTATAAGGTTTCTCTCCAGTATGAATTCGGCAATGAACTGCAAGGTATGAACGACGTCTAAAACATTTGTCACATTTATTACACTTGTAAGATCTCTCCTCATTATGGATTCGCCAATGATTTGCAATGGTTGTAGCGTTACTGAAGACTTTGTGACAATCATTACATTTGTAAAGTTTCCATATACCATGAATTGCTTGATGGTGAATAAGTGTTGACTGTGCACTAAAGGCTTTGCCACACTCATTACACTTGTAAGGTTTCTCTCCAGTGTGAATTCTAGTATGTTGTGCCAGGTGTGAATCACGCCTGAAAGCCTTGTCACAAACCTTACATTTGTATGGTTTCTCTCCAGTATGAAGTCTACGATGGCATAGAAGGGATGACGTCTGACTGAAGGTCTTGCCACACTCATTACACCTGTAAGGTCTCTCTCCAGTATGAAGTCTATGATGGCATGTAAGGGATGACATCTGATTGAAGGTCTTGCCACACTCATTACACTTGTAAGGTTTCTCTCCAGTATGAAGTCTATGATGACGTGCAAGGCTTGACTGTTGTTTAAAAACTTTGTCACATTCATTACACTTGTAAGATTTCTCTCCAGTATGAATTGCCTTATGAATTACAAGGGCTGAATTTCGACCAAAGGTCTTGCCACACTCATTACACTTGTAAGGTTTCTCTCCAGTGTGAATTCTAGTATGTTGTGCCAGGTGTGAAGAACACCCAAAAGCCTTGTCACAAACTTTACATTTATAAGGTTTCTCTCCAGTATGAAGTCTATGATGACTTGCAAGGTTTGATTGTTGATTAAAAACCTTGCCACATTCATTACACTTGTAAGGTTTCTCTCCAGTATGAAGTCTACGATGGCAAGTAAGCGATGACATCTGAATGAAGGACTTGCCACACTCATTACACTTGAAAGGTTTCTCACCGGTGTGATATCTATGATGGCGTTCAAGGTATCGCTTCTGATTAAAGACCTTACCACATACATCACATTCCTTTTGTTTCTCTCCTAAATGGACTGTCTGATGTTTCCTTAACAGTGAGCTACAATTAAAGCCTCTGCCATTCTCATTACATTGGAAAGATTTATCTGTCATGTGACCTTCCTGTTTTTGTGTGAGTAATGAAGAATGGAGGAAATTATTGTCATAGTTATTAAAAATATAAGTTTGGGGCCTACAAAAATTTATTCGGGATGTTGAAACCAAAGAAGCATCGTTGATTGACTTCTGAACTTGATTACCAATTTTCCCTTCAGTCTGAAATATGTGCAGTTCAGGCAGATGCAAATGAAAGCTCAATCCAAGCTGATCTTTAATAGGCTTGTTGCCAGCATGCCTTTCATCATATCGGTCTTTACTATCAGTGAACTTCTTGATCTGTGTCATGGGTGCTTCATGGCTATTTCTTTCATCTTTCTGCCACTGGAACTCAAAGTCATGAATATCTTTCTCAATTTCCTGGAAGCAAAAATCTCCAGTGTGATGACTTTCATGTGTTTCCAATGTCCTTGTGTGAAACATTTCTGTATTACCTTGTCCTGTTGATGAGACCATCTTCCTCATGCATTTGGAAGAGATATCTATAAAATACAAACATAAATAGGTTTCCAATTCAGTACATAGGGTAAATAATACTGAAATGTGTAAATATGACACACAAAAAACCAATACTTATTTTAAACTTCCCAAGCATGATCTTAAAGTTTAGACACACAAAAGAAGTGAGATTCTTTAATAAATAAAGGGCGATTATATGGACTTCAAATCATTTCTGTGAAAGCCTATTTCCAATATCATGACAAAATACTGGCAGTATTTTTACTATATACCAATAAATGCTAAAGGACCACATAATATACTATGTTGGTAAATAATCCACAACAAGCTCATGTAAGGATAGCCAAAATCAATGGAAATTCTGTATTGTCACACAATCACAGCACTCTGTAGCTAACAAAAGATTACAAAAATTCTGTGCTATCCGACAGAATCTCAGGAGAAAAGAAACAAACAAACAAAAAAAGAAATAAATTACAAAAATTAGCCAGGCGTGGTGGCCCATGCCTTTAGTTCCAGTTACTCAAGAGCCAGAGGCACAAGGATCACTTTAACATGGGAGGCAGAGGTTGCAATAAACTAAACCACGATTCCACCACTGCACTCCAGCCTGGATGACAAAGTGAGACTCCTTCTCAAAAAAAAAAAAAGAGAAAGAAAGAAAAAGAAAATTAAAAAAAAGAAATAGAAAATGTTAATACAATATTTTTCTGAATATATGCCATAAAATCACCTATATCCATGCAGATCTGGCACTCTGTGACTTTTTTTTTTCTTTTCTTTTCTTTTTTTTTTTTTTTTTTTGAGATGGAGTCTTGCTCTCATTGCCCAGGCTGAAATGCAATGACGCAATCTTGGCTCACTGCAATCTCCTCCTGGGTTCAAGATATTCTCCTGCCTCAGCCTCCTGTGTAGCTGGGATTACTGGCATGTGCCATCATACCCAGCCAATTTTTGTATTTTTAGTAGAGACTGGGTTTCTCTATGGTGGTCAGGTTGGTCTCAAACTCTCGACCTCAGGTGATCTGCCCACCTCATTACAGGCATGAGCAACTGTGCCTGGCCATGCATTATTAAAAATGTTTTTTGTAATTTTTTGTTGTTGTTTGAAACAATGTCATGATCTGTCACCCAGGCTGGAGTGCTATGGCACGATCTTGGCTTCCTGCAAACTCTGCCTCCTGGGTTCAAGTGATTCTTCCTGCCTGAACCTCTTAAGTAGCTCCAATTACAGGCACATGCCTTCATGCCTGACAAATTTTAGTAGAGATGGGTATTTTTAGTAGAGACGGTGTTTTGCCGTGTTGGCCAAGCTGGTCTTGAATTCCTGACCTCGAGTGATCCACCTGCCTCAACCTCCCAAAATCCTAAAATTATAGGTGTGAGCTACTACGCCTGGTGGCACATTCTGACATTAACGAGTGGAGTGTGTCAGCTGTATTGCATTCCACATAACAAAAATATTGTAACCCATAATTTTTATTATTTTATGTAAAATCATAAATATTAATAAAATACTGTAACCCATTATAAAGCCAGGAAGCAAATAATAAGTACATTTATACAGCCTGCAGAATTCTAAGCAATTCCCAATCTAGAAAAAAGGCACAACTTCTACTTACCACCAGCACACAATGTAAGAACTGAAATACATGTTAAGTTCACTACCTTCTGATGTGTGAGGTCAAGAAAATACACAGCTTTATAAGGAATAAGAAGTGACTAACAGTCATGTGCAGTGGCTCATGCCTGTAATCCCAGCACTTTGGGAGGCTGAGGTGGGTGGATCATGAGGTCAGGAGTTTGAGACCAGCCTGGCCAATACGGTGAAACTCTGTATTTACTAAAAATACAAAAAAAAAAAAAAATTGGCTGGGCATGGTGGCAGGTGCCTGTGATCCCAGCTACTTGGGAGCCTGAGGCAGGAGAACCATTTGAACTCAGCAGGCGGAGGTGGCCGTGAGGCAAGATCACACTATTGCACTCCAGCCTGGGTAATAGGGCGAGACTACAACTCAAAAAAGAAAAACAATTGACTAGCAGTGTCGGAGATTGCAATTATCATGTCACAACTCCAATTATGTCACGGCCAGGCAATACAGCAATTCTATACATATGCATTGCTCTAAATTATCTGGTTCACTATGCATAACATGTAAAACACAGAATGTGTACTGGGAAAATTTATAAACTGAGATCAGAGAAAACATTGTATAAAACAAACTGCACAATAAAAACATAAAAAATATAATGCAGCCTCCCTGGTCTGAATGTTCGTATTGACCAAAAGCCATGTTGAGAGTTCCTATTCTCCAATGGTCCTTCAGATGGGGCCTTTGAGAGAATTTGGTCATAGGTGTTGACTACTCAGGAATAATCTTCTTTCTTTCTTCTTCCTCTTCCTCTTTCTTCCTTCCTTCCTTCCCTCTCTCCCTCCCTCCCCTCCTCCTCCTCCTCCTTCTTCTTTTCTTTCTTCCTCCTCCTCCTGTTTTTTCTCTTTCTTCTTCTTCCTCCTCCTCCTTCTTCTTCTTCCTCTCCTCCTCCTCCTCTCCTCCTTCTCCTCTCTCCTCCTCTTCTTCCTCTTCTTTCTTCTTTTTCTTCTTTTCTTCTTCCTCCTCTCCCTGACCCCCCTCCTCCTCCTCCTTCTTCCTCTTCCTCTTCCTCTTCTTCTTCCTTTTCTTCTTCTTCTTCCTTTTCTTCTTCTTTTTGAGAGGGCTTTGCTCTGGAACCACTTTGGCTTCACCTTGCTCTTGAATCTCCCGCTTTCCAAATTCATAATAAAATAAATTTCTGTGTTTTAAGCTTCCCAGTTAAAGCTATTTCCTTCTTTCTTTGTTTTTCAGACTGAGTTATGTTCTGTCACCGAGGCTGGAGTGTAGTGGTATGATTCTCCTTTCTAAAGAGATGTTCCAGGATCAGCCTCCTGAGTACCTGGTACTACAGCCTGGATAATTTTTAAAAATCTTTTTGTGTTTTTTTTGGGTATGAGACAGAGTCTCGCTCTGTCACTTAGGCTGGAGTGTAGTGGCATGATCTTGGCTCACTGCAACCTCAGCCTGCCAGGATCAAGTGATACTTTGCCTCCCAAGTGGCTGGGTTACAGGTGCTCACCAGCATGCCCAGCTATTTTTCATATTTTTATTAGAGATGCGGTTTTGGCCAGGTGCGGTGGCTCACGCCTGTAATCCTAGCACTTTGGGAGGCCGAAGTGGGTGGATCACCTGAGGTCAGGAGTTCAAGACCAGCCTGGCCATCATGATGAAACCCCATCTTTTTTTAAAAAAAAATAAAATAAATAAATTAAAAAAAAAAAAAAAGAGAGATGGGGTTTCACCATGTTGGCCAGGCTGGTCTCGAACTCCCGACCTCAGGTTATCCGCCCACCTGGGTCTCCCAAAGAGTTGCGATTACAGGCGTGAGCCACTGCACCTGGCAAATCTTGCAGCTTTTAGATGCTGTATGGGCACCAGAGAAGGTAGCTGTTATGCACTGCAAAGAACACCAGGCAGATGGGTCCTATGAGTCTAGGGGGAATAGGAAAGCAGACAGAGAGGCTAAGCAAGCCGCTATAAGCAATTACGTCATCAGAGGACAGGCTTTTGCAATGCTTCTTCTTCCAGAACCTCTATCTATGGAAAAAGCTAGTTACTCCCCTAGTGAAAAGGCCATGTTCGCTCAAGAGGCCAGGAATTACATCAAAAGTGAGTGGTGGCAGTTCTCAGATGGGAGGCTGGCCATTCGCAACATAATGACCCCTAAGTTTGTGAAGTAGTTCCATAAAGGAACACTTATGGGGAAGACAGCTTTAGAAGCCCTAACAGGGTGCCATTTTTCCATGCCGTGTCTCACTGTCATCACCAGTGCTATTTGTGAAACACGCTTAATCTGTGCCCAAAACAATCTGAGGAAGGGGCCAGTTTGACCCCCAGAAATTCAAGGAGTAGGAGCAATCTCATGTGAAACCCTATCTGTGGATTTTACCGAATTGCCTCGAGCAGGAGGCTATCCATATATGTTAGTATTTGTCTGTACTTACTCCGGTTGGGTTGAGGCATTCCCCACTTAAACTGAAAGGACAGAGAAGTGACCAGAGCCTTACTGAAGGATATTATCCCCAGGTTTGGGCTGCCTCTCAGTCTAGGATCTGACAATGGACCGGCCTTTGTAGCTGAGATTGTTAAAGATATCTCTTGGCTTTTAACAACAAATTGCAAATTATATATTGTCTACTGTCCCCAGAGTTCAGGAAAAGTTGAATGAATGTACCAGACATGAAAACAATTGCTACAGAAATTCTGTTAGGAAACCCACTTACAGTGGGATCAAGTCTTGCCCATGGTCCTTCTCCGAGTTGCATGCAGCCCAACCAAACAGGCTGGATGTTCACCATATGAAGTTTTCTTTGAGAGACCACCCCTCCTCATAACCCAGGAAAAAGGAGATCTTAAGGAAATAGGATAAATAACATCCACCTCCCCCCGCTGTTAAAGTTGCTGAAGCTGTTCCCTGGATTAACTGTTGGTTAAAGCCATAAGCCCAAGATAAGTGGGCCAGTCAGCTAGAACCAGAGAATCCCACAAGGCTAACTTTGAGACGCATCATTGACAAGGACCAGGACCAGCCTGGTTCAGTCTCAGACACAGTCGACTCTGAGGAATCATCAAGCCCTGCTCTAGTTACACAACCAGAAGCTGACTAGTCAACGCACAGCCAGAGCTTGAGGAATCTCCACTGGATAAGTAGATGCGAACTGAAATCTAAAGCCTTGCTGTTATTTTAGTAATATTAACCATCCTGTTACTATGTTGTCATTGCTGCAAAGCTTTTCTCCCAGGAAAAAGCATTTTTTGTTCAGTCTTAGTGTAAAAATGCTGCCTTTCATTTTGCTTATGTTAGCCCTTATGGCAAATTTAGTAAGTGGGGGAGTCATGAATGGGTGTCCTATGTGCACCCACGCTACATGAATGAGAAATACACAAGTTAAGGCCTTACCATGCCAAACACAATAAGAGTGTACTGGAGC